GGGGGATCACTGTGGGGCAGCCCCACCGTGCCAGCCCGCCTCCTGTGCCCGCAGCGAGCTCATCCTCTCCAACATCCACGTCTCTGCCAACGGCGAGTGGGAATGCGCCGTCTCCACCTCGCAGGGCAACGTCAGCAAGAAGGTGGAGATCGTGGTGCTGGAGACCTCGGCATCCTACTGCCCSGCCGAGCGGGTCACCAACAACCGCGGGGACTTCAGGTGGGCACCGGGCGGCGCAGGTGCCGCGGGGGGCGGGGGACACCGTGTCCGGTGCGGTGTGGAGCTCGATCTGTGCGTGCGGGGCCGCTCCTCGCCGCAGGTGACCGCGCGTCTGGTAGCGATTAACGGCGCGGGGAGCGCGGGCGCTTTTGAAGGGCTTCCCGTGCCGGCGGCGCAGCCTGGCTCCAGCAGCAGAGGTGTTGGAATTTCTCTGGCACGAGACGAAAGGCTCCGGGCGCCCGCCGTAACCCCGGCGGGGCCCTTGCCGAATATAAATTACTGGCACAGTCAATGTGGCTTAAATTAGCGGTGCCCCCACCCCGCTGCCGGAGCCGAGCGGGATGCGGGGCTGCAGAGGGCGGGGGATTTTCGGGGAGCATCGCTGCCGGAGCCCGGGGGTGGCGGAGCTCGCACGGGGGGCTCGGGGAGGCTCGGGGCAGCGTTGTTGGCGGCGGGAGCCCCACGATCACCGTGCKGGGGTGCCCGCAGGTGGCCCCGCACCCTGGCGGGGATCACGGCCTTCCAGCCCTGCCTGCAGCACCCGTTCGCCGCGGGGCCGGCGGGYGCGGGCTCGGCCGGGGAGAAGCAGGCGTGGCGGCGCTGCGATCGGGCCGGGCGATGGGAGGACGGCGATTACTCGCACTGCCTCTACACCAACGACATCACCCGCGTGCTCTACACCTTCGTGCTGGTGAGCGGGGCCCCGGGAGCTCGGCTGGGCCGCGGGGGACAATCCCAATGTCACAGCCGGTGACCGTGGCCCCGCCGTGGCCGTGCCGCCCCGCAGATGCCCATCAACGCCTCCAATGCCCTGACCCTGGCTCACCAGCTCCGCGTCTACACGGCCGAGGCAGCCAACTTCTCGGACATGGTGGATGTCCTCTATGTGGCCCAGATGATAGAGAAGTTTATTGGATATGTGGACCAGATCAAGCAGGTAAGAGCACTGAAGCTGGCCCCTGCTTGCCCCAGTGCTGCCTGGTGTTTTTGGGGTGGAAAAGCATGAATTGGGGTGTTTCCATGGGGGATGGCAGTAGCTCTTTGCAGAGCCACTCGCTGTCCCCAGCTGACAGATGTGATCGTGGAGATGGCCAGCAACATCATGCTGGTGGACGACCACATCCTGTGGATGTCTCAGAAGGAGGAGAAGGCGTGCACCAGCATCGTGCGCTCCCTGGAGAGGATCGCGGCCCGCACGCTGGGCAGCAACTCCCAGCACATGGCAGTGGTGAGGGGGACACGGTGGGGGCTGGATTTGGGGAGCAGGGAGAGGGAGGAGGAGCGGGTGGGCTGTTGGGGGTCTCTGCCCGCACCAGGGCTCACAATCCCTCTGTGATTCTGTGCCGGGCAGACCTCTCGCAACATCGCCTTCGAGGCGTTCGTGGTGAAGCCCGAGAGCTACGTGGGGCTGAGCTGTGTGGCGTTCCAGCGGCGGGACAGGGGACCCCCGGGCCGTCCCCCTCCGGCCGAGCGAGGGGCTGAGCCCACCCCCGACCAGCAGCTCCGGCTGCGCTGCACCACGGGCCGGCCAAACGTCTCCCTGAGCAGCTTCCACATGAAGGTACGGGACCCCCGCCGCCGGGGCTGGGGGTTTGGGGTCGGGCCCCGCTCACCGGTGACCGTGCGCCCGCAGAACAGCATCGCCCTGGCCTCCATCCAGCTGCCCCCCAGCCTGTTCGCCAGCCCCGCCCCAGCCGCGCCGGGGGCTCACTGCAAGCTCCAGCTGCTGGTCTTCCGMAACGGGAAACTCTTCTGCAGCACCGGCAACTCCTCCCAGCTGGCCGACGACGGCAAACGCCGCAGTGTGGCCACCCCGGTCATCTACGCCGGGACCTGTAAGGGCAGCTTGGGGTGCTTGGGGTGCCCGGCGGGGCTCCCTGGGGCATGGCACCGGTGGTCCCGCACACAGAGCCATCCCTGGGTCCTGTGGGAGAAGGCGATGTGCCTGTGGGGTGTGTGGGGTGCACTATGGGGTGTGTGGGGTGCCCTATGGGGTGTGTGGGGTGCCCTGTGTCCACCCCCTGGGAGTACAGAGCCATCCCTGGGTCCCGTGGGAGAAGGCGATGTGTCTGTGGGGTGTGTGGGGTGCCCTATGGGGTGTGTGGGATGCCCTATGGGGTGTGTGGGGTGCCCTATGGGGTGTGTGGGGTGCCCTGTGTCCATCCCCCTCGGGGTTGCGGGTGGAGGGGTGTCACTTTTCCTGCTGACCAGGGCTCTCTGTGGCTGCAGATGGCTGCGGAGTGGGCAACCTGTCAGAGCCGGTGGCCGTGTCCCTGCGCCACCCCGGGGAGGGCACGGACCCCGTGGCTGCGTACTGGAACTTCGAGGTGCTGGGGGGCATGGGAGGCTGGAGCGCTGAGGGGTGCCAGCTGGCCGAACGCGAGCCMAACGTCACCTCCCTGCACTGCCGGCACCTCAGCAACGTGGCCGTGCTTATGGTAGGTGTGGGGCGAGCAGCAGGGTGGGAGTGTCCCCAGGGTGAGGAGGGTGGGGGCTGCAGGAGCGGGGTTGGGGTTGGGTTAGGGTTATGTTTAGAATTATGGTTATATTTAGGGTTAGGGTTAAGGTTAGGCTCAGGGTTACGGTGCCCTGGCTCAGGGGCACAGGGACAGTGCTCTGGCCTCTGAGGGCTGTGCTGTGCTGTGCAGGAGCTCAGCGGGTTCTCCAGCGAGGTTCCAGGCGCTGTGGAGGTGCTGCACCCCGCCATGTACACCTGCACGGCCGTGCTGCTGCTCTGCCTCTTCAGCACCATCATCACCTACATCGTCCACCACGGGTGAGGGATCAGTCACCTCGCTGCTGTCCCGGTGATCGGGGTTGTGCTGGGCTCGGTGTCTCTGTGGGCAGAGGGAGCAGCTCCCCAGGTGCCCACAGGAGATTCTCCTCTGGGATTGTGCTGCCTGGTCAGTGGCACTGCCCCATTGCCCCATTGCCCCATTGCCCCAGGTGCCTTTGCCCTGCTCCCTTGCCCTGGTGCCTGTTCCCGTGCCCCCACACCTTCTCCCCCAGCCCCTCTCCACACCAGGGCCAGGCTGGTCCATCCCCCGGCAGGATTGGTGCCAGTGGGAGCCGGGGCTCTCTCGGGGCCGGGCAGGAGCTCCCAGGTACCCACTGTGCCCCTTGCTCTTCCAGCACCATCCTCATCCCGCGGAAGGGCTGGCACATGCTGCTTAACCTCTGCTTCCACATGGCCATGACCGCTGCCGTCTTCGCGGGAGGAATCACCCTCACCGGCTACYGGGCCGTGTGCCAGGCCGTGGGTACCGGGCACAGCTCCGCGGGGCCCTGCGGGGCAGGGCCGGGGGGCACGGCCGTGTCTGCAGCCCCCAGCCCCAATCGAGCCCCCTCCCGCAGGTCGGCATCATCTTGCACTACTCGTCCCTGTCCACGCTGCTCTGGATGGCGGTGAAAGCCCGAGTGCTCTACAAGGAGCTGACCTGGAAGGCGCCGCGGCAGCCGGAYGGGGACACGTCCCAGGCAGCCCCCAGACCCATGCTGCGGTACARACCCCCCTTCCCGTTTCCCCRGCCCCACAGGGGCATCTCCAGGGGYTGGAGYGGGACTCGCTGTCCTGGAGAWGCCCATCCCATGCTCCARGTGTGCAGTGACTCCTCCCCACACCGCAGGTTCTACCTGATCGCCGGCGGGATCCCCCTCATCATCTGTGGGATCACAGCAGCCGTCAACATCCAAAACTACCACGACAACAACCCCTAGTAAGTGTCCCTCCCTGACCCTTCCTTCCCCTGCTGGAAGGGGGCACTGGGAATCTGGAGAAGTTTGGGTAAAGCTCAGTGAGTTTTTTCCTGAGAGGTACCCATATAGTGGGAAAAAATCAATCCCCCAGAGCTGGTGCCATCAGGGCAGGGCACGGAGCAGCYCCACACCACGAGCCCTCAGAGCTCCTCTCTTCCCGCACAGTTGCTGGCTGGTGTGGCGGCCCAGCCTGGGCGCTTTCTACGTCCCCGTGGCTTTCATCCTGCTCGTCACTTGGATTTATTTCCTCTGTGCCGGGCTCAGCCTCCAGTGCCGACCCTCACACCCGAAAGATGCTCCGGAGCCGCTGGAGCCGCCGCCACGGCTGGGGGGGACCGGTGACCTCCTGACAGACTCGGGCTCCATTTCGGTGACACTCAACTCGGGGCCACCCTGCCCYGAGGGTGACGGTGTCCACTCTCTGCGGGTGCAGTTCTGGGCGCTGGTGGCCACCCATTCCCTGTACGTGGCCCTGTGGACATTCGGCGCCATGGCCGTGTCCCAGCAYTGGTACCTGAACATCGTTTTCAGCTGCCTCTACGGCGTCACGGCCGTGGCGCTGGGACTCTTCACCTTTGTCCATCACTGCCTGCGGCGCCGGGACGTGCTCAGCTCGTGGTTCTCGTGCTGCCCGTCGTACCGGAACGCGCTGCCCATGCAGGCCTACGTGCACCCGGGGCTGGGGCCGGAGAACGGCTCGCAGGTCTTCATCGGCTGCGAGCCAGAGGCCGCTCGCTCCGGCGCCTCCTCCTCATCCTCGCCCGGCAGCGCCGGCTCTGCCGCGGGCCGCTGCAAGCTCACCAACCTGCAGGTAGCCCAGAGCCAGGGGGATGCTCGCCCAGCGCCCTGCCCGGAGCCGGACCCCGCCGACGGGAAGCCCCTCAAACACAGCAGCAACCTCCACGGCCGCCGGAGCTACCGGGGCAGAACTAAGGCGTGCCGGGACGGGAAACACCACCGCTTGAAGATGCTGCGGGGGCCGTCGGATCACCCTTCGAGCGAGAGCGGCAGCATCCACAACAGCCACTCGGAGAGTTACACCAGCGGCAGGACCAGCCCGGCCAGCGGCGGCCGCACGGGGCAGCGGGTGGCCCAGGATGGGGARGCGCTCGCCAGCCCCTCGGAGGGCAGCGACGGCGGCCGCAGAGTGGCCGAAGTGGCCGAGGCTCGCCGGAGGAGCGGCAGCCGGGACAACCTGCGGCCGGGCGGCAGCGCCGACAGAGAAGCCAAGCGCCGCTCTTACCCCCTCAACGTGGGCAGCCACAACGGCGGCATCAAGGGCAGCAAGTACGACATCAACCTGGCCGGAGCCGACAGCACGGGCGGCATGAAAACCGGCCTGTGGAAAAGCGAAACCACCGTGTGAGGGTGGCCAAGGACCGACGGCAGCGGCGTTTTCCTGCGGGAGCCGCTCGGGACCGGAGCCGCTCGGGGTTGGAGCCGCTCGGGGCCGGAGCCGCTCGGGGTTGGAGCCGCTCGGGGCTGGAGCCGCTCGGGGTTGGAGCCGCTCGGGGCTGGAGCCGCTCGGGGTTGGAACCGCTCGGGGTTGGAGCCGCTCGGGGTTTGAGCCGCTCGGGGCATTGAGGTGTGCACTAGCAGGGATGGGTGGCACAGCCCGGGTTGCGGTTCCCCCGGGGCACAAACGCCATCCCGGGCCCGTCCATCTCCCCGAGGAGGCTCCGATCTTCCCGGGGGCTCCAGGCAATCCTTGCCCATCAATTGCAGCCGTGCTTAAATCACTCCTGCATGTCACTTGAGATTGATCCTAAATGCTATTTTATATTATACAGAGGAAATGTCTATTTTTCAAAGCTATATTATTGAATGTATATATGTATAGACAGAGCCGTGAGTGACGCGAGGGCCCCGCTCTCACCCCTGTCCCCTGGGAGTGGGCACTGGGCCAGGACCCACTCGTGCCACGACTGCAATATTCCCGCTGAGGGACCATCCAAGTGCTCTTTATGTCCAGGCACCGCAGCCCCAGCCYGAGCAAACGCTTCTGGAGAGCAGCTGCTCCCTCTGGAGTGTTTTTAAGCCCTGTCAGCCCTGGGGGTGTGCGGTGCCAAAGCCATATTGCAAAGCCAAGCACAAGGTAAGAGGAGCCTCAGCTCCAAGGTGAGGCGATTGTCTGCACTGCTTTAATGCCAGACACTAAAACAATGGTCAGAAAAGGCTCCAGATATCAAACACAACCAGAAAATGCTCCCAGGCCCTCAGAGGCTCAAGCTGTGCCATGGGTGGGCTGGCAGAGCTGGGCTGCTGCTGGAGCCGGGACTGACCCTCCGTGCCAAAGCACCAAAGAACCCAGACTGGGACAGACCCAGAGCAGCTCTGCGCCTTAATCCAGGGGTTTGAGCTCAGAAAGTGCCACCGTTTGCTCTTGAGAAGGCAGAGGGACCATCTCTGGGAATGCAGGAGGATGATGCCGAGGGATTCGGGACCTTCCTCCGACATTCCCGTGTGCAGTCAAAGGGCTGGAACCCGGCCAAGCACTTATTGTTCCCACAGAAATACAAGGGTCCCCTTTTCCCCAGCACACAGGTAAAGCAGCCAGGCCCAGAGAGGCTGCAGCAAAGTGGAGGAGGAAGGTGGGAGCCTGGTGGGAGCCTCCCCTGCCCTTTCCAGCCTCCCCTGCCTCAGTTTCCCCCCTGTGCAAATGAGTTTTGACATAGCTACCTCCGAGGGGTGGTGGGACTGGCAGGGCTGTGAGCCAGGGGAGGAAAAAGCACTTAGTGGGGATTGGTTTTACCTGGGAGCCCTTCATCCCACAGGGCTGGAGCACCCCTGGGCTCAACCTGCCACTCCCAGCCCACCCCAGCTTCTCTGCCCAATTTAAACCCTTCAATATTCATTGTAGCTGGTATTTAACACAATTTAAACCCTTTCTGTGGCTCCTGCAGCCTCCCTGGCCTGGCTGATGCCCTGTGGTTCTGTTGCTTGCTGCATTGTSACAGTATTAGAGAAAAAAGCTTTGTACTCTTCATTACACTTTGTTTTGTCTGTTTACAAGCGAATGACATATCAACAGAGCTTCCTGCAATATCCGGGGGGAGGGAAGGGAAATATGCCAAAGAAATGTTCTTTAAAGGGGTCTTTTTGCATTTTTATATGAATGGAATGTTTCTAGCAGATAATGTTTTGTTTAATATATTAAAGATATGCYGATCTGCCAAGATGTACTGTTATTTCTCTCAGACTTAATGTTCAAACACAGCCTGGCCTGCAGTTTTTTGACCCTCACAAAGCCATTCTGCTGAAGAATGAGAAGTCCAAGGTGAGGCTGCCCTGGAAAACCTGGGCACCTGCATTTTTATTTATTTATAACAGAAATGTAACGTGACTTGGAGCAATCACTCCATAAAAAGCCCCATTTTGGTGCAGACATTAAGGAGGACCCAGCCTGCTCCCTTCCCTGGGCAAGGGAATCACTCTGTCCCTGGTGAGCTTCACACTTTTGGTCTCAAAACCTGGCAGCAGCATCCTGTGGGCACGGCCACCTTCAGAGCCAGGCCTTGGCCTTCCTGAGGGCGCGGATCTCCTCGGGGCTGCGCAGGTACTGCTCGATTTCGCTGTCTGAGATGGGCTCATCGCCCGTGGGGGCYGAGTCCGGGGTGTTTGGAGCTGCCAGCCGCAGCTTCTTCCTGGGGTGGAGGAGGCAGGGGGGCAGCAGGGGCCTCAGGGTGCCCCCACCATGGGGCTTCAGTGTTGAGGGACAGCTTTTCTGTGCCACTGGAGGGGCAATGGCAGAGCCCTGGCCTGGGGAATCCTTATCCGGGGAGTCCTGGACTGCAGACTCCTGGCCTGAGGAGTCCTGGCCTGGGCAGTTCTTATCCAGAGAGTTCTGGCCCATGGAGGCCTGGCCTGGGCAGTCCTTATCCGAGGAGTCTTGGCCTAGGGAGTCCTTATCCAGGGAGTTCTGGACCATGGAGGCCTGGCCTGGGCAGTCCTGGCCCGTGGAGTCCTGGCCTGGGCAGTCCTTATCCGTGGAGCCCTGTCCTGTGGAGCTCTTTCCTGGGCTCTCCTGTCCTGGGCTCTCCTGTCCCGGGCTCTCCTGTCCCGGGCTCTCCTGTCCTGGGCTCTCCTGTCCTGGGCACTCCTGTCCTGGGCACTCCTGTCCCGGGCTCTCCTGTCCTGTGGAGCTCTTTCCTGGGCTCTCCTGTCCTGTGGCACCCTGGGCCGTGCCGTGCTGCTCCTCCCCATCCTGCTGCCTGAAGGCGTTTCTCAGCAGGAACACGCGGTGCTGCAGGAGGTCCCCGAGGTGCTTCACCACCGTCCTCTTGTCCAGGCGGAAGGCACGCAGCCAGGACAGCTGGGAGGCCATGCCCAGCAGGATTTCCAGCAGCTCCTTCAGCCTCAGGTGGGCTGGGGGTGGCAGATCCACCCCTGCCAGGCGGCAGAAGCGTGCCAGGGGGCACGAGAGGCGCGGGCCGGGCTGCAGGGACTGCCAGGCCAGGAATGCTGCAGCCGTGACGATGGGCACGGGGTGGCGGCCGGTCACCAGCCACGTCTGGCTGGCCAGCTCCACRATGGCCATGGTCCGGGCCAGCAGCTTCTCCTTGTCCTCCTGGAACGGTGCAGGGACATTGGCAGCAGGCTGGAACAGCCGGAAACTGCGGGACAGAGAGGGCACAGACAGGGCAAGGCTTGGTCAGGGGCTGGACACAGGACAGGACTGGACACAGGACAGGGCTGGACACAGGACAGGGCTGGACACAGGACAGGGATGGACACAGACAGGGATGGACACAGGACAGGGCTGGACACAGCACAGGGATTGACACAGGACAGGGCTGGACACGGGACAGGGCTGGACACAGGACAGGGATGGACACAGGACAGGGCTGGACAC